AGTTACTCAGGAGGCTGAGATTGGGAAGGTGGAGGTCAGCCCAGGAAGAAAAGTTTACAAGACTCTATCTCCAAAATGTCCAACAAAAAGCAGGGATGGAAGTATGGCTCAAGTAGTAGAGTAACCTTGAGTGCCCAGGGTCTTAAGTTCAAATCCCAATACCATCAAAAGAATTTTAAAGACCCACAATGTAAGTTTAAATTGATGAATTCATAGTTTTTTTTTCAAAAAATGAAATAATTAGATATGTTTACATTTGTTTTTAAAACTGCACAGAACTAAAGGCATACATATACACAAGAGGCATAAAACTCAAAGATAGGTAGATCATAACAACTATTTGTTTTCTGGCTGTGAAACTACTATAGTTATAGGAGATAGTACCACTCCAGGAAACTGGGTAAATGGCACACCCAGTACTAGTTCTTATAATGCATGTGAATCTACAATTATCTTAAAGTGAAAATATTTAATTAAAAAAGGAAACCCACAGCTGGGAGATGTGGCTCACACCTATAATCTTAAACTACTTGGGAGGAGAAAAACTGAGATTGCAGTCTGAGAGCTGGCTGTAATCCTAGCTACTTAGGAGGCTGAGATCTGAGGATCATGGTTCAAAGCCAGCCCCAGCAGGAAAGTCCATGAGACTTTTATCTCCAATAAACCACCAGAAAATTGGAAGTAGCACTGTGGCTCAACTAGCAGAGCACTTTGCTTGAGCTGAGGAGCTCAGAGTCAGTGCCTAGGCCCAAAGTTCAAGCCCCACGACCAACAACAACAATAACAAAAAAAGACTGCAGTTTGAGACCAGCCTAGGCAAAAAGTTCACAAGATCCCATCTCAATCAATGAGAAATCTGGGTACACTGGCTCACATTTCTCATCCATGCTACTTGGGAACTGTAAATAGGAGGATTATGGTCCAGGCCAGTCTGGGAAAAAGCTGAGTCTATTCAAAAAATAATGAAAGCAAAAAGGGCTTGGGACATTGCCCAAAGCCCTGAGTCTGAACCCCAAGATCACCAAAGAACCTCAAACAGGAGCGTGGCTCATTGCTAGAGGTTTGTGCCTAGCATAAGTGGGCCCTGGATTCAAATGCCATCTGGTCAACCTGAAAGTAGGAACCCAATTCATTATTTGAAGATCTAGCAAAAAAAAAAAAAATTCAAGCACTTGTCTTTGTTTCCTGTAAGACCTATACCAATGATTACAAAAATATAGGTGGAGGTAATTATGAAAGGAGCTCCAGTGAAGAACTATTAGATTATCACCACCTATAGCCCCCAATAAACACATGAAGTCAGCACTGAGCATCAATAGCTAACACAACAAAAAGAGGAAGAAGCAGCTGTCAGGTCTTCATGGTGGACATGGAAGTCAACACCATGATGCCTTGCCATGGGATGCAAACATGAGTTTGCTCAGGCCTGAGGATGCAGCTATCAATGAGTAGATAATACATGAGAGGGACAGAGCAGGTAAACTATACGGAAAAAGCAGTGAGCAAACTTCGGACTGTGTTCTTCAATGGATAAATTAATAGGGAAGAGAAAATGGGGGTAAGGGCACAGAAAAGAACCCTGTAGATACACAGATAGACAGAAGAGCCTTAAAAGACAACAATTCCTTTAAATGGACAAGGTCAGACTTGGGATATCTGGGTGGTAGCACTGAAGAAATGCAAGGAAATATCGTATTACAAAAGGGGCTACTTTAGGGGAAAAGTGGAGTGGTGATGAGGATATGGCACACAGATGGGGAACACAGAAAAATTCTACTTCCTCATCTGCATGATGGTTACAAGCATGTTCATTCAGGATAGCTCAGTACCCTGGACACAGGTACATTATTTCCTGTTGATATTTTACTTCACAATTTAAAGCCGTTTTGAAATGAAGGAAAATTGTATCGCTAGTATAAACTGAAAGAAAGAGAATGGAACATTTAAAATAACCACAGGAAAATAACCAATAATGATGTCACTTTAACCAGATCCAAATGTTTGAGGAAAGTTGCTAGGCCTATTCTCTGGATTAGAAGATTACTTAGTGTTAAGAACGTGTTAGCACTGAAATAAGACATTCTTGATATCAGCAAGATCTAAAGACATCTGAAAGGGAAGCTCTTTCTCACTGTGAGTCAGGGTGACCTTATCCATGCCCATCTACCACTGAAGCCAATTTTAAATTCACCTGGTATTCTACACATCTGGAAACAAAGGAATTAAAAAGGGTCTAGTGAGCTGCCCAATGGCTCATTCCCGTAATTCTAGCTACTAAGGAAGCTAAGAGCTGAGGATCACAGTTCAAAGATTCTTATCTTCATATAACAATACACACACACACACACACACACACACACAATTATTTAATTTTTTTAATTTTTTTGGGGGGTCCGGTCTTGGGGCTTGAACTCTGGGCCTGGGCACTGTCCCTCAGCTCTTCAGCTCAAGGCTAGAGCTCTACCACTTGAGTCACAGCATCACTTCCGGCTTTTTTTTCTTTTTGCTTATGTGGTGCTGAGGAATCGAACCCAGGGCCTCAGGCATGCAAGGCAAGCACTCTACCCCTAAGCCACCTTCCCAGCCCAAAATTATTTAATTTTTTTGAAAGGTCTGGTGGTCAGGCACCAATGGGTCACACTCATAATCCTAACTTCTCAGAAGACTGAGATCCAGGATCAATAGTTGAAGCCAGCCCTGGCAGAAAAGACCATCAATCTCATCTCCAATGAACCACTTAAAAAAATGCCAGGAGTGGAGCTGTGACTCAAGTGGTAAATCATTAGCCTTGAGGAAAAATAAGCTCAGGGAAAGTGCTGAGGCCCTGAGTTCAAGCCCTGGAAATGGCACAAAAATCAATCAATCAATCACAAGTCTGGAGCACAAGTATAAGTCAGGCTTTGTGAGGGGATTAAAAAAGCCTTAGCTCTCCCAGATCATTAAGAGATTTATTTTATCCATCCTCCCTTTTCTAAACAAGCTTAAAAGGTTTGCTTTTCCATTAAAAGCATTTAAGCAAGAGGCTGACACTACAGCCTGGAGAGAGACACTTCTCCATGTCCTGGTTACAAACACACATTTCTCTTTGTACTTCATAGCACATCTCCGGAGCCTAGCAATCAGCCACCTCTGCTTTGTATCTAATGTGTCTGGAGGTTCTCAGGTGACAAGGCGCCTGTACCTGAAAGCATAAATTACAGAAATAAGCATAAATGGCCTCCCTCATCTGAACTCCTTATCTCTAAAAAGGCACCACATCCTGAGTTGCTGGTTCAACAACACTAGCCTGAGTTGACCTCAAAGCCCTTTTAAAAAAAGAGAAAGAGAGAAAGGGCTATCAGATTACATAATATAAACTGGCAGTAGGCAAAGAAAACAGACTCAAATGGAGTTCAATATCACTTTCAAACATTTATCTGAAACAAAGAGAGAAAATGGCCTGATTCACCAAAACGTGATTCAAAACCAAGGTTTGCTTTGTCCTCCAACCCCTGACTTTCACATTACATTACTTGGAAGAGAAAGCGAACTTGAGCCAGTATAGTTCCATTTTTTGGCACAGCTGCTCCCAGAAGAAGACACAGCGACGCCAACACATTAAGATGAAGTTCAAGCAGAAACTGAAAGGGGAGTGTGTGTGTGGAAAAGGAAGATCAGGGCTGGATCCCTTCCTCCACAGTGTCTGATCTTCCTCAACCTGGAGTTTGCTGGCCCTGTTCCCCAAATTCTATGTCTCCTATTGCTCTGCATTCTCTACCCTCTGGGTCCTGTGAGCCTCAACTTTCCAGCTTAACCTTGTCCTCATCAACATCCCGGAGGCAGGTATGCAAACAGACCCGTAAATGGACACACACCTGCTAAGATGGCCAGAACCCCAAGCGCCACTTACCACAGGTGCTTCTTATCAAAGCCTAGTCCACCATTTCTGTGAGATCTGAGAAAAACACCTGATTCACAGGACAGAGGAGGCCCCTACCTGTAAGGACCACTTCCTGGCCTCCAATACTTATGAATATTGACAGCAAAGGGCCCTTCCATGGACAGTACCTTGAACACAAGTTTAAGAGCATGCGTTTCAATGTTTAAATAAAAAGTATTAGCCAGACAACAGTGGCTCACGCCTGTAATTCTAGCTACTCAGGAAGATGAGATCTGAGGATCACTGTTCAAAGCCATCCTGGGCTAAAATTTTAGTTCATGAGACTTTTATCTCCAATTAATAACCACAAAGTTGGAAGTGGAGTTGTGGATCAAGTGGCTGAGTGCTGAGCTTGAGCACAAAAGTTCAGGTAAAGCCGGGCGCTGGTGGCTCACGCCTGTAATCCTAGCTACTCAGGAGGCTGAGATCTGAGGACCGTGGTTCAAAGCCAGCCCGGGCAAGAGAGAACGTGAGACTCCTATCTCCAACAAACCACCAGAAAACCAGAAGTGGCGCTGTAGTTCAAGTGGTAGAGCGCTGGCCTTGAGCTGAAGAGCTGAGGAACAGCGCCCAAGCCCAGAGTTCAAGCCCCACGACCGATCAAAAAAAAAAAAAAAGTTCAGGTAAAGTGCCGAGGCCCTGAGTTCAAGCCTCAAGACTAGCAAAAAATAAAACATTTATAAATAAATAGGAAGCATTATTTCCACACCAGCCTCTGTGATGATTAAGATTTAGCAAATAGAATTTTAAAACATCTACAGTTACTACTCCAGAAACACCTACAAGTCAAAGCCCCCCAGAATTGACTACAGCCTAGCTGAAATATACTAAGAAACATGATGCATTACTCAGATGGGAAAGACTGAACTGAAAGCAGCAGACCTTGTGCTTCCCCGGAAACATGGGAGACTTCTACATTCTCTTTCAGATAAGGCACCTTGAGTCTTGGGCCTGGGACTCTGGCTAATCTGGGATGGGAAAATGGTTTGGTGATAGGAAGAAGAGGAGGGGTGCACTTACTTTGGATTTCTTACCCTATGAGCTACTGAGAAATGCAACAGTCTATTTAAACACTACTCACTGCCTGTTGGATATCAGTCTTCACCTGTTCACTCAACATGCCTTCAAAGACAAAGGAATCGCCAAACTTCTCAGCCTAAAAGGACGGAAGGAAATAAAAACTCAGATAAGGCTGGAATAATTTGTTTCACACCTACCATTCTGTGTCCAGATGAACTTGAGTTTTCCCTGTGACTTCCCAGACGACTCAGAAGTGATTTAAAAGCATCCTGGCTGCCTCTTAAAACAGGCTAATGTCACTCATGGAGACTGTTTTAAGTGTAGGTTAGCTGATAAGACGGCAGACTAGAAGGGGTTAGCTGTTGAGAACGTGACTGTCACTGCTGGAGGAAACACATTTCCCCAAGTATTACAAATGACCAGGAAATGACAGTATTCTGTGTGTTGATAACACTTTGTTTATCCTTTGTCCAGCTCACAGACTTAAGCTGAAAGAATTAACTGCCACTATTGGATGATATTTGAGGCTCCACTAAGGTGTCAAATGTTTTCCTAAATCTCAAGTGGTCAATTCAAGCATGGAAATCTGTGTTTTAATCATTCAACATTGATGTTACCCACCTGGTTCTATCATGTGTGACCCTGTTCTGACCCTGGAGTCCTTTGTCATCTGTGGCTTTCCTCCTCTAGTTTTCTTCTTTTGGATTGTTCTAATCCATCCCCTGAAATACATGGGCTCATCTTCCTGCTGTTTCCCAGAGCTTTCCCCTGGCTTCCTGTACTTCTCACATTTGGCTGGTGGTTCCATTACACATGAACTAGCCATTGCATGGCCAGCTGCTTAAAGCTCAGGCTGTAGCTCTGCAACCCTGGAATTTTGGATTCTAGGGGCCAGTAGTAAAGCATGTGTTAAAACTGGTGGTTCTAACACAGGTGCTTCGAAATACATTACTTCAGTACCAGGCAACCTCATTCAAACCTCTTGCTTTAACTATGGTGAGTAGTTCAAATGACTCTCTAATCTACCTGCAGTCCTATCTGCACTAGTCAAAATCAACTAAATACTGGATTGTTATCTTTGTCCTTATAAGAGCCCGAGGCTCCTTTTCCTGAGTGGAACTTATTGTCTTTTCTTCACTCCTCATGTTCTTTCCAAATCCCCTGGTAACACTTGCCTAAAAACCCAAGCTAATTATTCATTTGACAAACATGTATCAAATACCTACCATGTGCCTGATTTGGGGCTAAATTAGTAAATACACACACACACTGAACATTAAATAGGCATGGTCCCCATCCTCAATGTATTTAAGTATGAAAAAGCAGACAAAAATCAAACCAACAAAAGGAAATTACCAGATGAAGTAAAACTAAAAAAATTTAAGAAAACCTTGTTCTGGTGGGATTTGAAGGCTCCTTGAAAAATGGACATTTATGCTGATAAGAATGAGAAGGAGACCAAAAAATAAAAAAATGAGAAGGAGCCAGGTGTTCAAAAGGGGACAAGCAAAGGGCTGCAAACTCTTGGCAGGAGTAAAATATGGGCAAAGCTCACAAGGTAGAAAAGAACAGGAAGGTGGAAAAGACTAGGAACAATACCAAGAGGCTAGTATGCAGGGAATGAGGAGCATGTGACATAAAATGAAGTCACATAAAGTTGGAGGGAAGAAGGGAAAACAAAAAAATCTACAAAATGCCATAAAAATATAAAGCATTTTGTCCATGACAGGAATTCTAGTTTTTGTGACCTTAAACACTTTGATAAACACGATGAAACTCAAAGAATTCATTCTCAGAATAATATATTTCAATCCATAAAATAAAATCAATAGAACTATTAAGACAATATTTAACTCAAAATACTGATAAGACAAAGTTGTGCGATAGTAATATGTCTGCTCTTTAGTGATATACTAAATAAGCTCCAGCGCTTGATGTCATGATTATCATAGTCAAAATATGAAATGAGCTAAAGTAAATGTCCACAAGTATCTAATGAAACATTTAAATAAATTATAACATGTCAACTTCAACAAAAAGTGGGGACAGATAAAAGCAGCATCTCATAGTACCTTCAACAACAGTGAGATAAAAGTTTCTGTGATTTTTATTGGCAACAAAGTGACAGGCATGCCATCATCAGGATTTAATCTCATTATAAGTGGAAGAAAAGCTAAACTGGGGGGAGAGGGAGAAGCTGGAGGTAGAATATATCCAAGATGTAATTTATGACCACTGAGGGCATTTTAGGAAATTCTAATTAAATGTGACATTGCAAATCCAAATCAAATGTTGTTTTGCTTTTGGTATTCACTTGAAAACTAAGCCAGGTGCTGGTGGTCCATGCCTGTAATCCTAACTACTCCAGAGGCTGAGATCTGAGGATCACAGTTCAAAGCCAGCTCAGGCAGGAACTCAGTGACTTTTATCTCCAATTAACCAGAAAACCAGAAGTGGCACTGTGGCTCATAGTGGCAGGCACTAGACTTGAGCAAAAGAGCTCAGGGACAGCTCCCAGGCCCCCACTACCAACAACAACAAAAACAAACTGATTTTTTATAAAGGATGTTTGGTGCCTCCTCTCCCAAAAAAGTTTTAAAAAACATTTAAAAAGTAGTGCTTTGTGGTCAAAGTAAACAGGACTCTATAAAGAACAAGTGTGTTTCAGACCTTCATTTCATAAGCCGGAAGTCCCTCCCCTTGCCCCTCTGCCTCTCCTCTTCCCATTTAGGACAAACGCCCACTTGCAGAGCCTCACTGTGAGCCTCACCCGCCACAGAAGGCCTGGGACTACCAGGGATGCTTGCGAGTCTGTGAGGCACAGGAAGACTGCCCCCAAACGAAAAGTTACACTTCCACATTGTTCATTTAGGAAATGCGTAATTATGACGTAAGGAAAAGGAAGAGTGGCCTTATTTACATGCCACGCCATCTGTTCTCTCTAGTAGCCCAAGTGGACAGCAGCCCTCTCTGGCATACTAAAATACTAACACAATACAGCATAACAGGAACACTGGTTCTGGGATCATGCTGTCCAGGCTCAAGTCCCAGCCCTAACTAACTAGATGTGCAACTCCGAGCAACAGACTTTTCTAATGCAGTATGTCCTGAAAAACAGTCTGCTTCATGGAGTTGCTGTGAGGCATTATGAGAAAGACAGACAGAGACAGAGACAGAGAGACAGAGGGAAAGTGTCAGTTCAGCAGTGCAGGCCCATAGTTAAAGTGGTCTACGGTCATTGTTAAGAGCACTCTTGACAGTTCTTAAAAAGAAGTAGTCCTCACTGCTATCCTCAACCCCTTTACCTCTGTCAAATAGCCGGTTGAGTTCACAAACTTCTCAAATTCGGCATTACTGACTTCATAGGCATCCATGTAGAAGGCATCGATGGTGACTCTCCTTGCAGGAGCTTCCCCATCCTGCTTGATCTGAGGATCATCTGTGCCCATCATAAATACTCCAGCAGGGATGGCGACCATCTGCAGTAAAAGAAAAACACCAGAAGTCATGCTTCACAGCCTACAGGACCCCTCAGCTCCCTGGTGGATCTCCCTTAGATGGGTATGGGAATCTTGTTTCGGCCCCTCTGCTGCACGCGTCTCTCCCTCCATCCTTCCCTCCCCCACCACACTCATGCCCCAATCATAGTTACAGGTTTTCATCTTCCTTAGATCTTCCTGAGGATTCAAAATAAACCAGCACTAAATATGGTACGTGGTCCACATCAGATACTCTAAAGAGTTCTCATTGGGTGGATGAGTGACACCCTGACTATGAGGAATTTGGTCACTTGAATTATTCATAAATTATAAAAGCTCTATTTTTTGTGCAACACAGTTCCAGACATACATGACGTCTTTCTAGTAATGAACCTGTGTGACTGCCTCCACTCAGACTCAACTAGGCTTACCCACTATTCTCACTACTCTCCGAGCACCTGGCACACAGATTCTGAAGTCTGTAGGAAAGAAATCAAGAAAAATGTGTGTGTGTGTGTGTTGAAAGTTAAGCTTGAATCAAGAGCCTGGGCACCATCCCTTAGCTATTTCTGGCTTCTTGGTTGTTAAGGGGAGATAAGAGTCTCGTGGACTTTCCTCCCTGGAATAGCTTCAAACTATGATCCTCACATGTCAGCCTCCTGGGTAGCTAGAATTACAGGTGTAAGCCACTGGTTCCCAGAGAGAAGTCAGAATTTTAAGTCGCTCTACAAAGAACTAGAACTAGAAATAGTGAAGACTTCAGACATTAGTTTAAAATATAGTCTTAAAATCACTACTAAGAGGATCTACATAGAAGAGAGATGGGGGGAATGAAAGGTGTGACATTGATAAAGATACATTGTATTCATAAACTGACAAGCTGAAACCCCTTTATACAACTACTTAAAGATAATTTTTAATTTTTTTCCATTTCCTAGCATTCATTTCAATAAACGTTAATTTTTAATTTTTTAAAAGAGGATTTAACAAAAGATGTTACTAAGAGTCAAGTGTGATGGTGCACTCCTGTAATCGAGCACTCAAGAGGCCAAGGCAGACAAGATCAAGAGATCTTACCAGCCTGGGCTATGTAGTAAACTGTCTCAAAAAAAAAAAAAAATACAGAAAATACAGGTGGCTCACAGGAGGCTATGCAGGAGGCTGAGATCTGAGGATCATGATTCAAAGCCATGATCTCTAATTAACCATCAGAAAACTGGAAGTGGCGCTGTGGCCCAAGAAGTAGAACAGCAGCTGAGGGACAGCACCCAGGCCAAGTTCAAGACCCATGACAAAAAAAAAAAAAACCAGAAAACAGCAAGCCTTTCTCAAGCAGACAAGTAGATCTTGTTACAAATAAGAACAGTTATTCATCCCTGTGCTCAAAGGCAGGGTCCAAAAAAGCTCTCTCTCTCCATTGTACTAATGAACTTTTACAGTCACCTAATTTTGTCCATCTTCTTCTCCCTTAATACTAATAACACTAATACCATCACCTCCACTACAGACTCCTGGCCTGGTTCTTTTCCTTCTTTCATTAACCATCAGGGATGATAGCAAGAGTGAGTCAGAATGTCTAATTTATACTAACAAGTTTTCTTAACTCTAAATGTAAAGAATCACCTGAGTGAAACCCATAGCATCAGGGTATCTCACTCTTCAGAACCTCAAGCTTAACAGACTATGTTAACTATATCTTCATGGAAAGTCCTGACTCAAACTACCCATTCTTCTTTAAGTCTAAAGGTGAGCTCAAAACCTCTTCTATGCCACAGCTCCTGCATTGCCACTCAGCAGCCTGAAATGAAGTCCCAAATGACTCCATTCTCACTACAACCATAATCAGGCTACACAGAGGCCAGAGCAAGGGATGCTACTAGGTTTGTTCAATCTAATGCCAGTTCACCCAAATGAAGAGCAAGCTCTGAAATTGCATTTTGAAAAGCCACTCTCAACCTTGCTAAACACATTGTGGCCCACACTGAGCTGGATGACAATATTCTACCTCTCGTGGCTCAGACCTGGCAAATCAGAGCATTCTTTTTTTTTTCCCCCGGTGGGTCATGGGGCTTGAATTCTGGGTCTGAGAGCTGTCCCTCAGCTCTTCAGCTTAGGGACAAGGAGCGCACTCTACCACTTGAGCCACAGTGCTACTTCCCATTTTCTGGTGGTTAATTGGAGATTAGAGTCTCACAGACTTTTCTCCCTGGGCTGGCTTTGAACTATGATCCTCAGATCTCAGCCTCCTGAGTAGCTAGGATGACAGGCATGAGCCACCAGCACCCAGCAATCATAGCATTCTTTTGACCACAAAGATGTCATCAGAAACAGGGCCATGACCCAGTCAAAATTCTTTTTAGAATATTTTCTGGAGCCATCATAAAAGACACACTCTCTCATACAACTAGAGACATCACACAAGAAGAGAGCCAAACTAAAAAGCACTGACCCAAGAGGCCTGGTGATGCTGCCTGACTCTGCCGGTCCAGCTGTGCCTAGAGCCACAACCAGTCCTCAACTTCCCAAGTACAGACTTCATAAATGTCCACACACACACATTTTTAGTTATCTTTTCTATCTGGCATTTAGACTTGTCTTGTTGTATAAGACTTTTGTACACACAAAAAAAAAAATCGCATAAAGCCACGAGCCAGTGGCTCACAGCTATGATCCTAGCTACTCAGACGAGGGGTGAGGCAGGGCGTGGGCCTGAGATCTGAGGATCAAGGTTCAAAGCCAGCCCAGGCAGGAAAGGCCCTGAGACTCTTATCTCCAATAAACCATTCAAAACACCAGAAATGGCACTGTGGCTCAAGTGGTAGAGTGCTAGCCTTGAGCAGAAGAGCTGAGGGATAGCACCCAGACCCAGAGTTCAAACCCCATGACAGACCAAAAAAAAAAAAATTGCAAATAAAACTCTTTTGTGTAGCCCTTTTTCCTTTTCCTTCTTTTCTACTCCTCAAATTTACATAAAAAACTAAAGGAGCAATGGAAAACTGGGCAAACAGCAGTGTCCATCATCCACAAACTGCTGCCTTCTTTATCTACACTGTTCTGCATACTGCCTCTACAGAGACATCAATCATCAACAGAATGGCAGTCAACATTTCTACCAGCCCTGACACACCTGATTCCTCTAGGCCTGTAAAACGGGAGATACTGCAAATCCTATGCCAACAAGAAGTGGAGGATTGGGGTTGAAAGTTTAAGACTGCATGAACTGCATTGTGATTCCCAAGGCCAGCCTCAGCTACTTGGCCAAACCCTGTCTCAGAAAAACAAAGATGATGGCACTTGTATCCCATTCTAGAACCTTAGAGAGGACAGACCATTAAAAATGAGGAATGTAGCTGGGCACGGGTGGCTTGCGCCTGAAATCCTAGCTACTTCGGAGGCTGCAATCTGAGGATCACGGTTTGAAACCAGCCGAGGCAGAAAGTCCCTGTGAGAATCTTATCTTCAATTAACCACTCAAAACCTGGAAGTGGCACGTGGTTCAAGTGGTAGAGCGCTAGCATTGAATACAAAGAGGCTCAGGGACAGCACTTAGGCAGAGATCAAGCCCCATAACCGACCAAAAACAAAATGAGGAATGTTAGTTCTGTCCAGAGGTCTAAAAATTACAAGACAGACCAATGTATATATGTAAATAAGATAGCTGTCCTGTCAGTTACAACGTAGGTAGAACTAAAACCTACAGGAAAGAAAAGTGGAGTGAAAAACAAAGGATATGGCATACTAGGCTTACAAGAAGGAATACGAGTTTAAGAGTCAGAAGACCAACACGCCAAGACCAGGCAGGAAGAATGAAGTACCACTTGTTATTACCGTTTTTATTTACGTATCCTAGCTCCAAACACATCAAGACACTGTTGCAAGTGATGTAGACAATCAAATAAAAAATAAAGCAGCCATGGTTGGCTTAGTGCTTCTGGTGCTCAAGTGCCAAGCATGGCAGGGATAAATGGTAAGTCTTGCCCTCTACTGTCACAGAGTACAGACAGGTTAAGTACACAACCATGGTGGAGACATGAGTCTCAGGGTCCTGATTTTTTCCCAATCACTCAAGAGAAACTGAGGGTTTAAACCCCAAACTGTCTGAATTTAAATTCTTAGGTCCCCCATCAAGAGACAGGGTGCAGAGAGGAAGACGTAGAGGTAAAGAAGAAACAAGAATCGTCAAGCCACTTCTAGTGCTTAGAACTGCAGGAAGCCACAGCACACTGGTATGGGGTGGGGGGAGGGAATGGAAGCTATGGGGTGCAGGGAGGCTGTGAGGGGGCTAGGGGTGCAGGGAGGCTGTGGGGGGAGGCTGTGGGGTGCAGAGAGACTATAGGGAGGG